CTCTAGCACTGTGAGCAGTTATGTGTACTGTGTTCATTGACTTATTTGGAGTGTTATTAAGTGTATTCATATATGTTAATGTGTTGTAAACATGTAGCATTATGAACCTGTAAATCTGAACTAGTCCTGAACACTCTTTCAGGCAAGCGGTCAGTCACCTAAATCTAAGAAGACTCCGAATCGTGCACCACCAAGCACTGGAGGAAAAAAAGCAACAGAAGCAGCCAAGAAAAGCAAGAAGCAGACTGAGACGTGTGAAGAAGAAGCCACCAGCAGCAACAACAGCACCCCAAAGAAAGCAGCCACCACCTCCACCCAGGCCAAGAAGAACACCTCCACCCCCCCAGCACCCAAACCGGACAGCCCTGCTTGTGTAAAAAGAGCCAAAACAGCCAGAGACAACAACCGGGACCTGGGCCTGTGCAGGTATCACCCGCATTCTGTTACTTTCTGTGTGTATTCCTGGATTTCGATGTTTGTTTTAATGCAGCTCTCATGTATGTTTGAATTTCTCAGGATTCTGTTGGCTGAACTGGAACGTCATCAGGACGCCTGGCCCTTCCTCACACCGGTTAAACTCAAATCTGTCCCAGGGTACCGCAAAGTAATTAAAAAACCCATGGACTTCTCCACTATCCGTGAGAAACTCGTCAGCAGCCAGTAAGTGTCTCTCACTCGGTTTTGAAAAATGTGAAAAAGTAAAAGCAGGGAAGGTGGCATGAAATACGGGAAGATGAAAATTAACCAAAATTTTATTTGAATAATTATTTAATTTATTAAAATAAATGCTTTCATAAATTGTATAAAACAAATATGTATAGTTAAAAGCATTTTATTTTGAAAATTATTTTATGTATTAAGATTTTTATTAATGCTCTGGGATAAAATAACTCAAATAATTATTGATAAGCATAAATATAAATGCACAAATAAATAAATAAACAAAAATATACACTATACAATTGAACATATGTCCACATCAAGAAAATAACAGCAAATAAGAATAATCTCCATGTATCCTCAAATAAAATACTTTTAAAATGTAAAAAATCCGTTTATAAAAATGTGAATGCCTAAATTACCAATTTTCCCTTTTAAACCCTTTCCACCAAAATAAATGACTGTAATATACATTAAATATTAATACAAATAATAAAGCAAATAAATAAATGCTACACAAAAATATAAACTTTATAAATGAACATAATATCCATGTCAATAAAATCACAATAAATATAGGTTATGCTCTGTGTCCTTTAAAATATGAAAAAAAATTTAAATAAAAACTTAATTCCCTAAATAAACTATTTTCTTCTTAACAATACAAATAAAATATATTTAGCACTGTCTTCCATTATGTGTAGCACATACTTACATACAAAAAAACTTTAAGTGTTATATGATTCTTTAATAATGAGATGCAAATGCAGTAACTGATCCCCCCCGACCCCGTTCTTTAGGTATCAGAATTTAGAAACGTTTATCATCGATGTCAACCTGGTGTTCGACAACTGCGAGAAGTTCAATGAGGACAACTCTGACATTGGCCGGGCCGGGCACAACATGAGGAAGTTCTTTGAGAAGCGGTGGACTGAGCTGCTGAAGCAGACTAACTGAGGTGGTCTCGGACCACCACAAGCTTTTCATTTCAAACCTGCGACCGGGGCTCAAAAGCAGAGGAGTCGCAGCTCTCTCTTTGACACAGAGCCTTCAGGACCGACCAATCCCACATCAACACCCAAAGAGACACAAGACAGCGGGTGTCTTTGTGCAATACCATTTCCTTCTAGAAAAGAGAAATCGCACTGAAATTTCAACCATCAGAGCTGTACTAAGGAGAAAAATCCCTTTCCACTACTTGTAAATATCTTTTTATTTTGGTTTTGTATTTTTACTTTATCGTTAATATTATAGTGAATGTATTTAATTTTTTTAATGATTATTTATGACTAAATAAAAGAAAGGTCCACTCTTCATTTTCTATGAAAAGGAAGAAACAGCAAAACTGCTTTAAATCTAATGGAATGTTTATTTGTGTGTTTTTCCTTTCCAAATATGAAACAAAGCCAAGAAAAAAAAGAAACTGTTTACACTGTTCTGTGCCATGTGGCATTAGAGTATTCAACCCTCTGAACGTGAATTAACGGCATCACTGTACACACACACACCCACATACATACATACACACACACGCAGACAAGCAGGAGGCACCCATGTGTACATACTGTCTATTAATGTCAATATATTGAGTCTTGTTTGGAATGATGTGTACATATTGTTTCAGACATTGGATATTGTTTATGCCTTAGAACGTTTGTAGCAATTAATTTTAGTCTTAAAGTGATTAATAATATACATTTATTGTTTGTACAGTATATACATATCCTCTACAAAACACTGTGGTCTCCTTAATCTTAGTAGTGCCTGCCCTTCAGAACAGGGTATAGGGAAAATAATTTGTTCTTTTTTGTTTGGTTTCGTTTTTTTCCCTTTTTTGTAATGTTATTGTTTTCTTATATACAACACATCAAGGCCTCCACTCAAAGGCATACTGTACAAAACTCATATCTGAACCCATATGAAAGCTGGCTGGCCCCAGAGGCGCTCAGAGATGGACAGCAGGCGTTCGGTAAGCACCCGCGTGCGTCGTGGCCCACTGGAGGCAGCTAGAACTGAGTTTTTTTGTACCTGCGTCAGAGTACTTGAAGTTATTTTATTTAAAGATATTGTGGGAAACAAATGGTAGCGTTCTTTTTGTAGGAGCATTATTTTTCACTAGTGTGTGCGTGTGTGTGTGTGTGTGAGTGTGTGTGTATGTGAGAGTGCGAGCGTGTGTTTGTGCGAGTGTGTGGATGTTTGGCACGGACTTATTAAAAGGATGTTTTTAAATCCAGACAGTGTCTAATGTGTTATTTTATTCCTTAGCAGTGGTCTTGTTTTCTTTCATTTTACGGGTCATGTTATTAGTGAAAAAAAAATTTTTTAAATTAATATTTTACTAAATGAATGCCTTTATTCACCATTTTTATTCAAGTGTTTAACCCATATATACACACTGAACAAAATTATGAACGCAATACTTTTGTTTTTGCCCCCATTTTTCATGAGCTGAACTCAAAGATCTAAGACTTTTTCTATGTACACAAAAGGCCTATTTCTCTCAAATATTGTTCACAAATCTGTCTAAATCGGTGTTAGTGAGCACTTCTCCTTTGCCGAGATAATCCATCCACCTCACAGGTGTGGCATATCAAGATGCTGATTAGACAGCATGATTATTGCACAGGTGTGCCTTAGGCTGGCCAAAACCAGTCAGTATCTGGTGTGACCACCATCTGCCTCACGCAGTGCAACACATTTCCTTCACATAGAGCTGATCAGGTTGTTGATTGTGGAATGTTGGTCCACTCCTCTTCAATGGCTGTGCGAAGTTGCTGGATATTGGCAGGAACTGGAACACGCTGTCGTATACGCCGCAGTTTGTGCAGAAATTCTTTGGTTATGCAAACCGATTGTTGCAGCAGCTGTCCGGGTGGCTGGTCTCAGATGATCTTGGAGGTGAAGATGCTGGACATCTGTGGCATTGTGCTGTGTGATAAAACTGCAAATTTTAGAGTGGCCTTTTATTGTGGCCAGCCTAAGGCACACCTGTGCAATAATCATGCTGTCTAATCAGCATCTTGATATGCCACACCCGTTTATAATTTTGTTCAGTGTAGGTAGCAAGAATTTTTTTTTTTTAAAGGTTGAAAACGAATTGCCATTTTCCAACACATTAGGACTTGAATATTTAACTATTAAATATTTAAGATTAAGGTTCCTCTAAATACTTTTTCTTTCATTCTTTCTTTTTATTTTTTTATTTTACTATTTGTATTTTTTCATGAAAATAATTTTATATATATATATATATATATATATATATAGAAAGAAAATACAACAAGAAACAGAACTGCATTGAAATACAATAAGATAAAGGAAAGTGAGAAAAAACAACAACACCTCAACCAGTAAGGATGATAATGAAACTTGTTTTTCTTATTATCAATGAGTTTAAGAGATTTAACAATAAGCTAAATCTCAGCAAGAAAGACATCAAATATAGGAAACGCCTTAAGAAATGTGATTGAATTCATAATGATTAAATTAAAATGTTAATTTGTACATAAAAATGAATATGGCTGCGCATAATGTATAAGCAAATACACACAATTATAGCAGTCTGATAAAGTGACAAAACACAAATGTGACAAAATGTATTTTTAAAATAAGTATTGCTTTTTATTTCTCCTCTTTCCTAGTACTTGTTTCGCTTCTGTTTCAGTTTTTATAACCATTTCTTACTATGTGCAAGTAAGTTGTTGTTTTTTAGCATGTGTGTTTGGCAGTCTTATTTTTTAGGGTGACTGATAAACTACTGTCATTTGATTTGTATTTGTTATTTATTTTAATTTTAGTTACATTATGTCTGTATAGGTCTTTTATTAAGGTGTATTTAATTTGAGTTATTTTAATACTTCAACAAACTAAATGAAAATGAAATAATATATATATATATATGTATATATATATATATATTGAATTTATAAATGTGTATGTACATTTACATACATATAATGTTGGTTTTTTGGTGTTTGGCTTAGTGTTATGTTAGAATCATTATTATACTCTTATACCTTTTGTTCTTTAATATTTTGAATTGTTTTGTTTTTCATTTAAATTAAGTTTTGAAATTTTGTTGGATGCATTTGTCATTTTTATTTAATCTCTTTATTTTTCAAATAAGTAGTATTTATAAAGTTTTAGCTTTTAGTTTGGGATCTGTTGTTTTAATACTACAATTGATTGCTTCTGTTGTCCTCGTTTGTAAGTCGCTTTGGATAAAAGCGTCTAATACATGACTAAATAAATAAACAAACAAAAACCACGTGGACAAACTGGAAGTCACGTGACAGAACCAGGAAGTGTTCGCGAGAGGTACGTCACGTCTTCGAACACCGCTTACATTGGACATAAACAATAAAAATACGTCAAATATATTGAAATGTAATACTAGATTATTAAACATGATACTGGATAATTTCGTAATGCTGTCTAGGAGTGACCAAAGGTATTACAACACGTTTTTCGTCGGTTTAAACAACTTGCGAAGCACGTTTGTAATATCAAGCGGTTTGTCTGTTTCGAATAATGCGTCAAACTCCAGCTTTTAGCGTTAGACTAAACGTGAATTCTGTTGTTTTGTCCGTTATGTAAGACACGTCCTCTTCCTGTGAATTTAAAGGGAACAGGCAGACAAGACATAAACACAAACATGGTGTCTCTGGTCTGCACCTTGCGAAGTCATCAAGACGATGTGAACTGCTGCGCGTTCTCCGGCGCTCTGCTGGCCACCTGCTCCGCCGATAAGAGCATCTGCGTTTACTCCGCACGAGACTTCAGCGAGCTGCCCTTCTCCCCGCTGTCCGGACACGGCTACGGGGTGCACTACTGCTGCTTCAGCGCCTGCGGTCAGTACCTGGCCTCCTGCTCCACCGATGCCACCACCGTGGTGTGGTCGATGGACACCGGAGAGATCGAGGCCGTCCTGGAGCACCCGGGCCGGAGTCCAGTGAGGGTGTGCGCCTTCTCTCCAGACTCATCTTTCCTGGTGTCTGGAGGCTCCGATGGCACCATCGCACTGTGGGACTTTACCTCCAGGACCCTGCTCAGGTACATCAGCTTCCCATTACTGATCTACATATTCAATGAGCAGTGCTCCACTCGACTTATTTATAGAGGAATAAATAAAAATGTTGCAATAAATAAATGTCAAGCCAGGTCAACATATTAAGTGCTGTGCAATATATACTGTTTCGAAACAGCTTCATAATAATTAGACAGGAAAATCAATGATGCAAACTCAAAATCAAGTTCTGCTCTAAAGCAGCTCTTTAAAATAAGACAGTAGTGTCATTCAGCTCAAGTCAGTTCAGTGTTGATTCAGTGTGAACTTGCTATAAGCAGCTGAATTACAAGAAAGCAACAAGAAAACCGGGTCATTATTCAGTTCAGTGTTGATTTAGTTCAGTTCAGTAACAATGTTAATGTTGCCAAATTCGTCAATTATTAAACAAATTTGATTCAGCTATCAGGCAATTCTACAGAAGACAACGTCATCAGATTCATCAGTGTTGGGAGTAACGCATTGCAAAAGTACTTCTGTAGTTATTTTGGTGAAAGTAACGCAAAAGTAGTGTAACATTACAGTTCAGAGACAGTAATATAAATAATTACTTTCAATTACAGTCACTAATAATATATAATGTATTACGCTTAACATACATAATGCAACTTGCGATTCAGTTTGTTTTGTTTTGTTTTTTCCAATAATGTCAGTATAGTCAAATCAATATTTGTCAGTCCAGTATTATTTATAAAATGTGGCTTTATTTAAATATGGAAATAAATGCATGTGGGAATAAATAAAGTAAAATAAATAAATAAATCTAAATAAATACAGAAAAGATTAAATACAGAAAATAAATAAATGAAGGGCAAAATAATATAAAAAATACAATCAGAGTGGAATTTAATTAAAAATGAATTGGTATTTACCATGTTAATAATTATTGTGTTTCATCAAGTAATATATTTCTTTCTTTCTTTCATTTCTGCAGGTTTGGGCCATTAAATGTTGTTAAATACATAGTGAATCAAGCCATTCTTTTTGTATGATAGTGTTAGATTTAAGGCAGATTTATTTTGCACTGCACCAGATCAAACTGTTTGATTGTCACTTGTGTGTGTTGCTGTTTAGGACGGGCGCAGTGACTGACACCAGTATAGTGGCCTGCTCTTTCACTCCCTGCGCTCAGCTGTTCATCACCGGCTCCACATATGGTGACCTGCGGCTGTGGGACCTGAATATGAACCATCTCCATGCGGAGAAGAACGCCCATGACCTCGGGGTCTCCTGCTGTCAGTTTGCTCCCCAGATAATGAAGGGTACAATTCCTGGATTTCAATTGTTCCGACAAATTACAAAACATTACCTTGATGTATCTGAGTAAGCTTTAGTAATATTTAGACACACTCTCCTAAATGTAAAGTCAGATGCATTTTAGTGAACTGATTTGTTTGCACAGTTCATAAATAAACAGATTCACTGATCAAAAATGTCTTTATTTGAGCAAAATATTCAGTTGCTGCTGTTCATCATTTGTTTTTGACTGAACAATATTAATTATCATGTTTTTAGTTTAATTTATTATAAATTGTAAATTTATATTTGGTTTAATGCTGTCACCCTAATTTAGATAAATGTAATTTAGGTAATGTAAAAATAAATATCATCTAATGGTTATACATATATTATACAGGATATAGTCACAAATGGTTAAATGTACACTATCAAAAAAGTTATTTTTAATGAAGAATTTTAATTAACAAGGGCACATTGAATTGACCAAAAGTGACAGTGAAGACATTTATAATGTTACAAAGATTACAATTATTTTGAATGAAATAATCCTGAAAAAATGGTCAAATAAATGACCATTACGTTTTCCACAAATATATTAAGCAGCACGATTGCTGAAAATTCAATTTTGCCATCACATGAATAAATCACATTTTAAAATATAAAGAAACAAAGAAAACAGTTTTTTAAAATTGTAATAATATTTCACAATATTACAGTTTTTACTGTATTTTTGATCTAATTAAATAAAGCCTTGCTGAGCACAAGAAACTTTTTTTAAAAACATCAATCAATCAATAAAACCTCACTAACCACAAACATTTGAATGGTAGTAGCTACTTCAGAAGTGTGGCTTGACTACTTCAAATTATGATCTTGTAGCTTTGGCAACCTGCAAAATAGTTTCAGAATAGCTTTTGTAACATTTCCTCTAATGTCTCTCTTCCACAGGCACAGATGGCTGCGTTCAGTTTCGGCTGGCCTCATGTGGACAGGACAGTCTGGTGAAGATATGGATTGTTTCTCTTTTGTCTGCTGCAGGTAGCACCATCTGATACCTGCACACCTGTGTCTTCTGTGTTTTTAACGAGTGTGTTTGTGATTAATGATGTTTGTTAATCCACAGGCATTAAGATGCAGCTCGCTCACACTCTGACGGGTCAGTCTGCTCCCATTCTGTCCTGTGCTTACTCTGCTGATGGACAGATGTTGGTGTCAGGGTCAGTAATGCACACACATACCTACGTAATTCCTTACTTTAATTCAAAAATTATTTTATCAACATTGAAAATGACAAATGTGAATTTGTTAAAATGATTTGGCCTTACTTTGCTTAGCACGCCACTAAAAATGCAAAGATCATAGGTTTGATTCCCAGGGAATGCATAAATTGAAAAAAAACAAAAAAAGTACAAGCTGCTTTGAATAAAAGCCTCTGCCAAATGCATAAATGTAAAAGAATGTTGATCCATTCCTTGCAGTTCCACTATTACCCACTTGGTGGTGCTGTGTAATCACAGACATCAGCAGTGTGAAGACCGTACGAGTGCTGGTTTTGAAGTCTGTTTGTTAATAATCTCTGCTGAAACTGATTCTTCATCCACAGTGTGTCAGCACACAGACAGACTCAGTTTTACTGCACATAAAGGCCATAGAGGCTCGCCTGACTCATGCCGTTTAAATGTCACTCTCTCTTTTCCCATAGATCGGTGGATAAGACCGTGACTGTGTATCAAGCTGTGAGTCTCATTCATATTCATCATATATTTCTGTCAAACCAATAAAAATAATAGATGATTGACAGCTTAGATGTAATTAGCATAATGTTTGCGTTTATAATAACTAGTTGTTCTTTGCAGAACGAAGGTGTCTTACTCTACACACTTAACCAGCATGACAGGTGAGCTGTGAGCCATGATTTCTGAGGTCTGAACTCTCAGTGTAAGTCATTGAACCCTGTCGATTGGTCTCTTCCTGTTGGGCAGGTATGTGACGGCCTGTGCTTTTTCCCCCACGGCCCCTCTCATCGCCACCGGCTCCATGGACAAAACTGTCAATATCTGGATGTTAGAGGATGGCAGCGGTGCTCAGGGTGGGTTCCTGAGCTTTGAAAACCTATTCAAACTGCATTACTAAGTAACATTTACAATGAATATGGGTCATTCCTGCTATATAATACCTTTTAAACTCTGTTACCCTCTCAAAAATATTTCTATAAAAGGGCAATTTTTTATTTGGAAAAATATGCTCTGGTCAAGCTCAGGCACATAAGGGTGTCGGCTTAAATTTCATAGTTTACAAAATTGTTTAGATAGATTTATACAAGTATGTGAAACCGAATGGAATGTTGCTAATACGTTCTTCAAAATGAAGTCACTTCCTGGAGGATGATGTCATTAAGGACCTGTCTTTTGCTAAAGGGACATTGTCAGAAGACTACCAGGGTGCTAAATAAAATTGAGGATAAAGAGGAAACTTATAAAATCATTGCCTTTTAAAATATGTGTTTTTGATCAGAAAAATAGAATAAAATAAAGAAAAACCTGGAATATTTCTTAAAGGGGTCATATGATGCTTTTTAAAAGATCATTATTTGGTGTATTTTGTGTAACAGAATATGTTGACATGCTTTAATGTTCAAAAAACACATTATTTTTCAAATACTGTACATTATTGTAAGTCCTCTATGCCCCACCTCTCTCAAACGCTTCGTTTTCTACAAAGTCCCTTTTTCCGACAAGCGCAGTCTGCTCTGATTGGCCAGCTGACCCAGTGCATTGTGATTGGCCGAACACCGCAAGCACTCGTCGGAAATGTAACGCCCCTTACCATAATCGCGAGCTTCATCTATCAAAATAAATGTAAAGACAGTAAATAATGTCATTAGTTTTACCATCAGTTCAAGCCCGAAAGGGGAACAGACACAGTAATGATGCAGTACACAAGCCGCGGTTAAGACAGCTGACTCTACTGTGATGTGACGCTGTCTCTCTCTCTCACACACACGCGTGCGCACACAGACACACACGATGCGCAAAACTCCGCATTTGAACAGTCAATAGCAAATACTTAAACTAATAACAAAACATACTTACAGTCGCTGATTCAGAAGCACCAGATTGTCATAGCAAAGTCCGAATTACTTCCTCTCCTAGGTTCACGAAACGGTCGTCCATAAAATGCATTGCTGTTCTGTTGTAAGTGATCTTAAAGATTCCTAAATGTATCTACTTCTGGAAGGCCAAATAAAGTGCTTTTGCTTTCGCCTAGAAACACACAGCGTCTCCCTGACATGCTGCTTCAACACTAACTGCGGTTACTGAAACCACACCTTCTTTCTTTGCGTGCACATTTGGGCGGCATTATGCAAATATTCTCACATAGTGGGGTAGATATGTGGGGGCGTGTTAGAACGAGCCGTTTTAGGGGGGCGTGGCAGAGTCTTAACTTTGATAAAGAATATCTGTTTGGTTTTGAGACTTTAGTCTTTGCAACTTCAGGGATCTTATCTATGCACAATCAGCTTGTAACACTCCAAAGAGAAAGGAAAACTTGAAATCGCATCATATGACCCCTTTAATACATTGCCAGTGTGTTAAAAGGGATGTGGCAAAAATGGCAACATCTACTCAAAACAAAATAGTAAAATACTTTCAAATTAATTCCATGTTCAATTTATTGCAATTGATGTTTTTAATAAAAAGTAATGAATGATTCCCAATATTTAAAGGGATAGTTCACCCTAAAATAAAATTTCTGTCATAATATACTCACCTTCACTTTGTTCCAAACCTGTATGCATTTCTTTCTTCTCAAAAACAAAACACAAAATATATCAATGGGAACTGGAGCTATTTAGACACCAACATTCTTCAAAATATCTTCTTTTATGTTCCACATAATTTATGTTCTCAGTTAAATGATGAGAATCTTCATTTTGGGGTGGACTGTCCCTTTAATGATCTTAAAAACAACTATGAGTTTAATATTTTATATAGTATATTAAATCATATATGATGGAGGTAAAAAGAAAACTGTACTGCTGAGAAGGAATGACTCTCTCTCTCTCACACAAACACACAAATTCCTATTGCTTTGGAAAATAATTTTTCTCTCTTTTATCTATTATCGTTTCTAAGAACGATAATAATGATTGTTTGTTCAACAAAATGATTGTTTGTTTTTCTTCTTTTGTCATTTTCTCCTGTTTGGTTCCTGAAACTGAAGGCAAATCTCTTCCTGGTGAGTGTGTATTATACATTTTTATCGTTTGTTTTGGCTGTAACTAACAAACAGTATACACAAACTGGCACTAAGTGCACAATAAATAAACTCAACAAACAAACACTTGACAACAAAAATACAAACTGAGCAGTGTTTGCATTGTTCTGTTACACTGCTAAAGCTTGTGTTTACTGCTGTTACGGAGCTCAAGAGATACAAATAATATAATATATTATAAACAAACCATAACCTAACTATGATGTCAGGAAAACTGTTCCTGAATTCATGTTCAATTATGCTTGTTCCCATCTTCCTCTTTTCAGATGAAGCTGCTTCGGTTTTAAGCAGTGGAGGTAAGAGAAATCCAGACCATACAGTACATTGATACATTAAAAAAACATCTAAAAACAATTTTATTTATGGATTATTTTTACACCTGCAAGCTCAAGTGGGTAAAGAATTGCACAGCAACACCAAAGTCATGGATTTGATCCACAGGGAACATATGTACTGATAAAAAATATATCCCTTGAATAGTAGCTTTAAATAAAAGTGTCTGCAGAATGAATAAATTATACTTCTGGGGGCCGTTTTGTTAAAGCAGCACTATGTAACTTTTTCTGTGTTCAAAATTTGCAAAATGTATATAATGAGCGAGTACATCATGAATTTATCTTCCAAACAGCGTTTTTGTCAATCACTACGGTACACTTATAATAAGTACTTATATTTGGAAATGAGTAAATAAGTAAATCACACGCTATGCACAAGTTATGTGCATGTAATACTGCTGACCATGTTCAGTAATTACTCACCGCTATTCAAAGACACAGGAGTGGTGAAGTATCCAAACGAATACACAAAGAAGAAGTAGAATGAGATGTATTCTTCTCACGGCCTTCAGAAGTTTCTCTGGGGTGATGGATCACAGCAGCAGCCTTCAGTCCAAACACAGTGCGCTCCGTGAGCTCTAGTGAGCTTTACTTACTCTGTCTGGTTTAACTGCATTTGTGTGGAGGAAATCTGATGAGATCTGCATTATGAATCGCAAAATAATAGCTCTCACACACGAGGAAGTCAAAGTATCCTGAGCGGATACATGCTGTAGAACATTCCTCCTCATGATTTATGCATTAGATGCAGTTTGAGAAGTGTTGACCTGCAGTCTCATTAAGAATTCACTCTTCGTCTTTGGCTTAATTCATAGTTTTGCTGATACATTTCACATGAGATAACAAAAAAAATCACCTTTTTCAAAGTGGTCTTTTGTTTTTCAGGTGGAAAAGCTTTGGGACAATTTCCAAGAAAATGTAAAATATAATTACTCTAAAAATGTCAAATAACAAGTAAAATGTAATACATTTTTCATACAGCAATTTTTCAGTAATCAGTATTTTATTATTGCAAATGTCATGAATTATTAATTCATATAATTCAAAGATTTACTAGGAGTGTCAAGACATGAAAATATACCATTATCTGATATTTTAAGATAAAATTTCACACAATCACCAGGGGTCCTCTCTGTTATGTCACATGTTTTTGATTTGGTGGGGGAAGAAAAAATAAAACCTTACGCTTAATTATTTAATACAGTTTTCCTTTTAAGATATAATTTTTTTCTCATTATATCATCAGGACAGTTATCTCCCAAACATCCCAAAAAATTAATTTTAGTTCAGAAATTAAGAACATGTTCATCATATAATAGGTGTATTCCCATCATTATATGTATGAATTGCATTTTTTTAAGTTATATTTTTGGGCCTTTTATGCCTTTGTTAGGACAGTCTAGATGAGACAGGAAACAACAGGGAGAGAGAGAGAGAGAAACTTTGCTTGCCTGAGGTGCAGCTACATTATATGTCGAAGGCTATTGCTGCAACTCAAATTACATTTTATGAATGTATTTTTGACTAAATTAATAGATGGGACAAAAAAAAGTGCATGTCGTTGACCATATCCAGGTAACATACCACATCCTGTTGCTGTCTGTCAGGCAGGAAGTCGAGTGGACACTCCAGACTGATGGTGAGCGAGTGGTCTGAGGAGGATGTGTTGGCATGGTTACGTGAGGAGGGGCTAGAGGCTGTGATTGACATGTTTAAATCCAATAACATCGATGGAGAGGAGCTGCTCTCTCTCACCAAGGAAACCCTCAGCTCTGAGCTGCACATCGGTAAAATTACAGCACACATTACTCCAGATCTGTATTCATCTCCCATAACATGCTGTAGACTCTGGATGTACTCTACATATAAATTGCGTGTCTCTCTCTATGTATATATTACAAAGGAGTGTGTATATGTATGTATATATATATATATACACACACACACACACACACACAAAATTTAGTGTTGGACTTGGTAGAAATCGCATCATAATAGTGTAGGAATGACCTTAAAAGGATAGTTCACCCAAAAATGACAATTCTGTCATTAATTACTCACCCTCATGTCGTTTCAAACCCGTAAGACCTTCATTCAACTTCGGAACACAAATGAAGATATTTTTGATGGAATCTGAGAGCTGTCTGACCCTGCATAGACAGCAACGCAACTGAAATGTTCCCAAGTCCAGAAACGTAGCAAGGAGATCTGTAAAATAATCCATGTGACATCAGGGGTTCAACCGTAATTATACAAAGCTACTATTACGAGAATACTTTTTGTGCGCAAAAAAACGACTTTATTCAACAATTCGTCTCCTCCGCATCACCCTGTAGCGCCATTTTAGAGAATATCCGAATTACATAAACAGCGTAAAGTCGTTATTTTTTTTTCTTTTGAGCACAAAAAGTATTCTCGTAGCTTTGTATAATTACGGTTGAACCCCTGATGTCACATGGATTATTTTACAGATCTCCTTGCTACGTTTCTGGACTTGGGAACATTTCAGTTGCGTTGCTGTCTATGCAGGGTCAGACAACTCTCAGATTCCATCAAAAATATCTTCATTTGTGTTCCGAAGATGAACGAAGGTCTCGCGGGTTTGAAACGACATGAGGGTGAGTAATTAATGACAGAATTGTCATTTTTGGGTGAACTAACCCTTTAACCTCTAAATGTTACCTCAGCTGATGTCGTGTCATGTCATGAGGAGTTATATAAAGTAACATGGGTATTCCCATGTCTTTTATACATTACCTAACAGGAAGTCTTGATTGAGTTCGGAGTTTTTTTCAGGAAAAATCATGGAAAATGTGGCCTACATAATGTGTAATCCTAGAGATTGTAGGGAATGTAAACATTGGATTTGTTGAGTTATGTAAAGCACTTGCCTGTGTGGCATCCAGAGAAGAGTTTGTGTGCATTAAAGCTGATTATTTCCACTTTAGTCCAAAAACCAGCAGCTATTTACATAAGAAATCTAGTCCTAAATGTGCACTTCTGAAAATAAAGTGAAAGAAATCCCTGTCCAATTCACCATGAGAGTAGAATCACCTCATTTCATTTAGCATGACATTTTAACAGATTTCCTCCGCTGCCCACCATGACATCAGGCCATTGTGTCTGCTTTTCTCAGTGCAGTCAGATGCAGATAAAGCAGTGGCATGTTGTGGGCTGCAATAATGAGCAGGCAAAGTCCACTCTCCGAGTTTGATATTTAGTCCTATAGAAGGTCTTGTGCATGCACACAAAAGTAACTGTAGCTGAGCACCAAGTAAATGGGTAATTTCCTGGTTTACAGGTAATTAGTGATTTATAAGTACTTATGAATTAAACTCAAATGAGATGTTTGACAGAAGTAAAGTCATTCTGAGTCTCTGTATGGTGGATTTTAACTATCACCAACAAGTGAAGCACTGTCTTAGTAAATAGTTCACACAGATAGTAACAGGGATATTGTTTTTATATTATAGACATTTGTCATTTTCTGTGCAATTTGATGCAGTTTGCTGCAGAAATAAATACTGCATCAGTATGTCAGCCTCACTATTTACTAAACCTAATAATTCCTGCTATTTGGTTTTTTATGTAGCTTTATTTGTAAGTTATAATTGTTACATTTACTATTAAAATTTCATATGTATTTTGTTCCAACATTTTCAAAGTCCCACTTTGAATCTTATTTAAATCTACAGTAAACACCAAACATATAATATCTGCCGCAGACAAAAAGCTGCATGTTTAATTTAACTGAGCTGTTAAATGTAAGTGTTTGTTGAACACAGATCAGCATTTAAATGATACATTACAAATGATACATTAATTATACATAATTTTGATGTTAAATTTGATTCATATGTGACAGAATTTCGTATTGTCCCAGTGGTATAGTTGTTCACCTTTAATAAGTCTATTTTCACCAGTTATATCCATTCACGTTGATTTGTGGGGTGCTTGGCTGTTACTATAGTCCTATGAGGACACTTGCTTGTCACCTTTATTTTGCTATTACCCATCACATTTATGCTACACTTTAGGTGCTCAACACCACAGGACGTTTCTGCCACAGGATAAAAAATCAAAAGGTAACTGTGTCTTTGTCACAATTCTGACTTTAAAAAAACAACAACTTAGAACTGCAAAAGAACTGCAAAATGTAAACTCTCAATTCTTAAAGACAAAGGTCAAACTTACATTTACGTTTAGTCATTTAGCAGACGCTTTTGTCCAAAGCGACTCACAAATGAGGACAATGGAAGCAATCAAAATCAACAAAAGAGCAATGATATGCAAGTGCTATAACAAGTCTCAGTTAGCTTAACAGTATATGTAGCAAGGTTTCTTTTTTTAATTATATAATAAATATAAAGAAAACAGACAGAATAGAGCAAGCTAGTGTTAGAGGCCTTTTTTGGTTTTGTTAATTGTATAATAAAGAAAAGAAATGGATAGAATACAAAAATATTTGAAAAGCTAGCATTAGTTTTTTTTTTTTTAGAAAACAAGCAGTAAATTAATAAAGTGCGAGTCTAAAAGGGACACGTTTTTTTTTAAAGAATAGAATTAGAATAGAGAGTGCTAGAGTAAGAGGGTCAAATAAAGATGGAAGAGATGTGTTTTTAGCCGATTCTTGAAGATGGCTTATGACTCATCTGCTCGGACTGAGTTGGGCAGGTCATTCCACCAGGAGGGAACATTTAATTTAAAAGTCCGTGAAAGTGATTTTGTGCCTCTTTGGGATGGCACAATAAAGCGACGTTCACTTGCAGAATGCAAGTTTCTAGAGGGCACATCAGCTTAGCAGTGATATGAAAAGCCATGCTTCTGAATGACAGAACCTAGTGATGCCATGTAGACAGAGAAAAGAGGTGGTCCAAGAACTGAGCCCTGAGGCACCCCAGTACTTAGATGTTGCGACTTGGACACCTCACCTCTCCAAGATACCTTGAAGGACCTATCTGAGAGGTAAGACTCAAACCACTGGAGTGAGGTTCCTGAGATGCCCTTTGCACAATAGGGATCTGGTGGTTAACCGTGTCAAAAGCAGCGGGCAGATCCAGCAAGATAACTATTGAAGATTTGAAATCTGCTCTTGCCAGTCTTAGGGCTTCAACAACTGAGAGCAAGGCAGTCTCGGTTGAATGTCCACTTCTGAAACCAGACTGGTTGCTGTCGAGGAGGTTGTTCTGTGTGAGAAAGGCAGAGACTTGGTTGAACACCGCTTGTTAAAGTGTTTTTGCAATGAACGGAAGAAGGAAAACCGGTAGTTCTCTAAAAGAGATGGGTTAAGGGTGAGTTTCTTAACTAGTGGGGTTATACAAGCCTGTCTAAATGCTGAGGGAAAAACACCAGTGTGAAGGGATGTGTTAATGATGTGAGTGAGTGCAGGTACAACTGCAGGAGAAATGGCTTGAAGGAGATGAGATGGAATAGGACTTAACTTATAATTTACGAGATGTATACTCAGAATTCAGCGAAACTGCATATTTTGTTTTTGTTTTAAACTCATGCTCATTTATTTTTGCCTTATTTTGCCTTTGCCTGCTTACAATAATATTAAAGAATTGCTGTTTGTGCTGCACATTATGTCTACATTAGTTCCAGTTTGTGCCCAGCATTTACAGAAAGAGTGGGACACTCAGCTGAAATTGGAGGCCAAACCACCGTTGTTCTGTTAGCACAGATGTATTGATACCTGTACTTGAGGGTCCCACTTTTCTGTGATTGGGTGGTGCTGAAGTGTTCTTGTGCTCTCTCAGAATCTCTGGGTCTGCGGTGTAAAGTCATGAAGAAGATTGAGGAGTTAAAAATGGCACCTGTCTCTAACGGCACTCCCGATGAGTACCTCTGTCCAATCACGCGCGAGATCATGAAGGACCCAGTGATCGCTGCCGGTGAGTGTCTGCGAGTCTGTTTACCTGCTTGACTGGGGATTTTGTTTCGAGTTGAAACATTTTCTTCTCGTTTTCTGCCTGCAGACGGCTACTCGTATGAACGGGAGGCCATTGAGAGCTGGATCAACACGAAGAGCCGCACCAGCCCTATGACCAACCTGCCCCTGCAGACCACTCTTCTGACACCCAACCGTACGCTCAAAATGGCCATTTTACGATGGACAACTTGTCAGTGATTTCAGATACTAATGATCCCAGAACGGAAGTCTCTCTAGAACTGGATCACCATGGCACTGATTTGAGATCAGACTGGCTTTAGACATTAGCATGCTGTAAATTTTAGCGCTTTAGCTTTTAACAGACTATAGTGATGTGTCTCAGCTATTGACTCGAGCTCAATTTCAGCCTTAATCCTGAGAGTGAGAGAGGTGTTCCATTAGATGTGGTGGGAGCTTCATGCGATCCTCCATCCGCAAAGTGACGGTAGTTATGTCACAGGAAGATTGAAGAGCAAGTGGTCCATAATCAGGCTAAAACTGCGAAATACTTCTCCAGCATAACAGAGTGAGTGGCCTCAAACATCATAATAAATGTTTATCATCTCCTTTCTGCTCTATAGTGGACAGTTTGCTGGCATAATTATACTGTTTCTAGCACATAATTATGATTCCTCCTCCAGCTGTTTTCTATCGCTCATCGTGACTCACAGGTCTGAATATCGGTGAAATTCCTCAAGCAATTTAGTCTTATTTCATAAATGATTTTTAGGATGAGCTATTAATCATTTAAAGGGGTTATGCGTGCCAAATGATGTTGGTATACGTAAAATCAGGTATACGTTTATTAGTGGATGATCATTGTGGCCAGTTAAGTGACTGGATTTATAGCTTCACTACTGTATATAGCGTATGTATATGACTGCACTGATGACAGTCTAGACCTTTACCTTCATGAGCTGGTGGGTGGTTCATGCTCGGATAAACCTGCTTTGAGACTGAACGCCATGCAGAAATAAAATCAACCTGTTGTACAGCTGACTTTTGGCTTGTGATTCATTTTAATATTAACTGATGGTGGTACATTGTTGTTCATGTACAAGTTGTATGACATGTAACTTGTCCCACACAATTGTGCAACTATGATAAATCATGCATTTTATTGAAGAAGAGTGTTATTTTAAGTAATCAGATTTAGAAATTGAGAAAAAAATCTTTGGGACTTTGGGATAGGCATTTGGCAAACCACTAAGCAACCATCTACAGTAACAAGTACACACAATATCCAAGCAACCACATAATACATTAAGAACTAAGTAGAGGTGCATACAATGTTTCTTTAGTTAGCATAGCATTGCTTTTCTTCATATTCTTTAATTAGCCTATACCGATACTACAAAGGTTTTAAACACTGCATTGCCATCTATCGACATGAATCTGTATTATCATCTCTGAGTTTTATGTCAATTATATGGAAGCCCGTTTCCACTAAATAAAAAAATATAATTCTGTAAGTCATAATAATGAGAAACTTTCTCAAAATTATGACTTAGTATCTCGTTATAATGAGAAACTTTCTCGTAATAATGACTTATTTTCTCGTAATAATGACTTAGTTTCTCGTAATAATGAGAAACTTTCTCATAATAATGACTTAGCCTAATCCACAAAAAAGAAATCTTTTTTTTGATTAGGTTAAGTCATTATTATGAGAAAGTTTCTCATTATTACGAGATACTAAGTCATTATTTCGAGAAAGTTTCTCATTATTACGAGAAACTAAGTCATTATTATGAGAAAATAAGTCATTATTACGAGAAAGTTTCTCATTATAACGAGATACCAAGTCATAATTTTGAGAAAGTTTCTCATTATTATGACTTACAGAATTATATTTTTTTATTTAGTGGCGGAAACGGGCTTCCATACTATTACACTGATACTAGTGAGTTTTAAAGAGTGGGCTGCACTATTCATTCCCTTACCTGTCCAAGAAGCAGCAGCAACTTGGCCATCACTACTGGATTTCAGTTTTATAGTGGAAGTGAATGGGGATTGACATGTTTTGCTCTCTCCTCTGCGCTATGTTCATCACTTTTCACTGGAGCTTAATATCAGAAATATGGTGGGAATTAAGTTATTTTATCACTTTAAACAACAGAGTGTGATCGTATGATAGAGATTCCAACAGAAAAACAAAGCTACACGAATCTACAATCGCAAACCACTCGGCAGCACGGCAGACAGGAACCGGAAAGTGTATGTATTTATAACTCCGAACAGTATTTGTAACATAACTCCGATTGTATTCCTCTGAAAGAAGAAAGTCTTATAATCTAGGGTGGCTTGAGGTTGAGTAAATAATGAGGTAATTTCCTTTTTGGGGTGAACTATCCCTTTAAATATTTGATTAATTTACTATCCCTTAAAACCTTTATGATTAATGCTACCAATTAAACATTAAAGGGGTCATCGGATGCAAAATTCACTTTTACATGTTGTTTGAACATTAAATGTGTGTTGGCAGTGTACACATCCACCCTATAATGATAAAAATCCACCGAGTGGTTAGTCTTATTCCATGAAATTATTTTTAGGAGGAGCTATTAAAACCAGCCAGTGGTTTTTTTTTTAAAATCCCTATAATGTCCCCTTTCTCAAATCAAGCCGTTCTCAGCTTCTTGGCTGTGTGATGTAACACAGGCCCCTCCCACGATTGTTGATTGACACTGGCGTTTTACCTTAGACCCGCCCTGAGTGAGCTGTCATCAGTCCGCCATTGTTTCAATGCCAGAGCAGGTGAAGACAAGAATGGCTCCTAAGCGATTGAGGTGTTCTGTTGTTGGATGTAATAATGAACAAAGCAGTTATTTACTCCCGACACCTGAGCCGCTGAAAATGCAGTAGATTACTTTTGTTTCGTTGAAGGGAATGTGGCTAAAAGTTCCATGGCTAAAGTAAACAGAGAGGGGCGGAGTGAGAAGAGCTCATTAGCATTTAAAGATGGGGTAAGCGATTTAAAAAAAATGCTTTAGAAAACGGATTCGGGCGACTAGTAAAACAAACTTGAGCCAATCAGCAGTAAGGGGCGTGTCTACTCATGATGTGGAGGAGAGAGCGTTCAGTGCACACGGACGGACATTAGCGAGCCGAGTGACAGAAAGATAGAGATGGCGGATAAAAAACAAAAGAGGAAAACATCTGTGGAACAAAAGAAGGCTTAAGGCAAGAAGTAGGACCCGTGTAAATATCAGATTAGCTTTCCAGCGCTGGAGAGAACTCAAGGAGCGGAAGGCCTGCGATCGGACGCTGAGGTTGCTTTGTTTCTTCTCGATAGGCGAGTAACACCGTCTGTGCGCCGTCGCCACAACAGCTAAAGTCTGTCTAGTACACAGTACACTGGACGTGACAAAGCGACCGTCAGCTATCAAAATAGGGGCGAGACCCTTTTGGGGTAGGGGCGTGTTTGTTTTGGTGATTTCAAATGTCAACATTGGCTACCAGAAATCACTTACCCCACCTTTAAAGGACCATGCACTAAAACAGCTTGCTGTGTGCAGAGATCTTTTTGGCAAGGTAAATAGGGTGTTTTTTACACTACCATTGAGAAATTTTAACCAAAGTATGCTATAGACTTTTAATTAAGACCCTTAAGAATCATATCAACTTGTGGAAAATGGGCATCCGATGACCCCTTTAAGGACTGGCTCTCATTATAGTATTTTTTTCTATAGTTGTGCAGTAACCGTCACTTTATGACTTTATAAAAATAAGACAGAAATGTAATAAACTAATAACTAAACAGAAGTCTTAAACTGGGGTTTATTGTATATGTTGCTGAAATATTCAAATACAATACGTAACAGCCCTATACATGAAATTAATTGCAAATAATGTACATAAGAAATAACATCTATGTCCTCAGACACCTGAATATGGTCCACCAAAACATGCATGTAAACCTGGTCTCCTTTATACAGTTCATATCAATCTCACAATCATAGTGGTATTTCATAATATATAGCTGTGCAAAAATAACTAATATATAAAATATAATATTGTTTTAATCGGACAACCAAGCCATAAATAAATTAGTCCAAACAGTGAGTAGTTCATGAAGAAATACAACACGCTTCTCCTCAAACACACACACACACACAGACTCAACACCATTCGATCAGGAAATCCTTTTGAAAACACACAGACACACACACACACACACACACACACACACACACACAGACTCACCACCATTCAAACAGGAAATGCTTTTGAATACACACAGGACCGGTCCACAATCCTACTGTAAGAGAGTGTTTCATCTTGGTAGACGTCCTATGTCCTTACTGAAGTCTAAAGTCAGGTCAGGCATCTTAATACATTATTAATAAATCATCTGTATCATATCTCAGCTCTCTTTTAATGATGCAGATGCAGCGTTGCGCATTTAAAATGTGCTTAAATACCTCAGAAGCTGTAGTTGTAAACAGAAATGCAAGGCAATCTTTTACTCGTGTGCGCTTTCCAGGAGCACACACAAAATGCTTTAAATTTAGTCTTCAAAACGACTCAAATGACATTGGGTTTGTTGATGAAAACCGCAGCTCCTATATTAAAGACTGTAAACAACTTGTGCTTAACGTAAAGTATGAGTTCGTAGCTACACGTTGGACTCAATAAAGGAGCGTTTAGGTTTGATGGAACTGATCAGGATGGGGTTGTCCCGGGCCAGGCTGGCCTGCTTGTGCTTGGTGTCGTTGTAGTGCTGCTGGATGGGGTTACTGTCCTTGTATCCAGACCCAGGATGAAACTTGTCTGGGTGAAACTCTGGTATATGTGTGCTGTTATGCATGGGCTCCTGATAAGCGCTCGTTTTAGCATATTGGAGGTCACTGGTCAGTCCCTGCGAGCGCGTGTTCATGACAACACCTACATTGTGACCTACGAGCCCTTCTGGCACAAGTCCTTGCCAGCCGTAACTGGACACCAGGTTGCCATGATGGCCTTGCTGCTGCTGGAAACGTGCAGTCTTGTCAATGACGCCCATAAATGGGCGTGACTTATGCTCCGATTGCCTCGTGCCGCTGTCGCCACTCGCCACAGAATTGCGCATGCGGCTGGTTTCTGTCAGGTTTCCGCTGGAGGAGCTGGACACTCTCACGCTGCTGCTCCTGCAGAATTCCCCCCTTGGCTCGATGCTGCCTTCAGCCTTCTCTGCATGACCAAACTGAGTGTTGCCCTCTCTGGTACCACCGAGCGGACCCCTCTCGACACTGCCAATGTCAATGCAGGGCCCTGCTCGGAGTGAGGCGGGCCGGTGGCGGCTGGGCATGGGGCTGGACCCGGCGCTCTGGGGCGTCCTTCCCTCGGCGTGTAGCGAGCTGCTGTAGTCTCGGTTTTTCATGCTTTGAGCCTGTCTGGACGGAAGACGCCTGTGGGCGGCCCGTCCGGGGGCAGCTGTGGAGATGGCGAACTGGGCATCCGATATTGCCAGGCCTAGAGAATCAGGCAAAGTGCAGCTCTGATGCCAGCTCTCCTTCCTCTTCTCCTGCCTAGAGAATTCTTGCTCACACTGCTCCTCCTCCTCATCTGCCTGCAACATGTTTATGCTGAGGCTGTCTGGGCTTTTCTCCAAACTTTCAATGTCCTGGTCATCATCGTCGTCGTCATCATCTTCTTCTTCTTCCTCGTTGTTGTCTTCCTCATGGTGTGAGGGGTTGCTGTGAGAGGTAGGGTGTTTAGAACCCTGTCGCTGCAGGTGTTCGCACTCTTCCTCCACACGTGCCAGCAGACGTCTGATCTCTCTGTTACTGGGGCACAGACGCGCCGCTTCATAAAGATCAGCCAGCGCGGCTGCAAACTGCCTGAAAAAGAGTGAAAAACAGAGGAACTGGTACATAATTAATCATTATTATAAACTATATGCAGTAGATGGTATAGATATATGCGCTCTCTCTCTCTCTCTCTCTGGACCTAGTAAGCTGCCTCACTACACAGGAAGCAGCCTACATAAACAGGATCTGGAACCACAATGTCCTCAGCCCCGGAACGAGCTCTGTGTGAACAAAA